AGATTAACAACAAATAACATGGATTAGCAAATGAAACATTTACCGAAGCAAACATTTCAGCATATTTAGAAACATCAACTAAGGGTCCAGAAACAGTTAGTTATACACAGACGGAATCCTTACCTATAGAAATCATGAGATCTCCATTTAGATCTACAAAGAGGACAGATAAGCGGCTCTCTGTTTCTTCTGCATTCTTCTGCCCCTGAAACACATCAACAAGAGAATATGTACTTCAGTTTTAGGGAGTATAAAACCAGAAGATGGCATTACTATTTCCGAGTTTTACTAAAGAACGTTTGCTTCAGGATAAACGCTTCTGAAATTAAAAATACGCGCATTTAAACTTTTTATGCATGCAGAAATGCTTTAGTTCAGTACTACAAATAACATTAAAAGTTAGGAACACAAATGCGGTTCCTTTTGTACCTCAAACACAGGCAACACCTTCTAAAAAGTATTAAAAAACAGGAGATGGAATTTTATTTGTCAAATCAAACTATTTATATACTTCAATATAGTAATTCCCCATAATTCACTATATAATCCTAGCTGATAGATGACTTTCATGCATTCTAATGACAAGTCACAGGGGGCTAGAAGTCTATTCCTAACCTTGCTCTAATTGGATGTAATCTTTTCACTCAGGTAAAAGTTTTAAACCTTCAGCCCTGCAGTTAACTTTTCTCAAAGCCTCAAATGACAAATGTTATTTGTCAATAACTGATAAAACAAGGCATATGAACAGTACCTGAATGATACCAAACTCTCAAAGAGCTACCAGTCATCACTTAAGAGCAGGTTTCTGGTTTTTACTTTCTTAAGTAAAACATGCTAAGTTACAGTACTTCCGCAAATTTAAGAGTCACCAGAACTTAAAAAAAGATGACAACGTACATATTGACATGCAGTGGTGGTGTAATTTGTTCCTGCAGCCATCTTCACACACAGTTAGGCTCTCTTCATCCAGCATGCCTAACAGACAAATGGGGCACATCTGTTCTTCTTCATCCTTCATACTATAAAAACAGGTATTTGTGATTGTAAAAGTGGCATATCAGAATAGGCTTTAACAGTGAAAAAATATTAACTTCCAGTGTGAAACAGTCATTTCTGCCTAACTATAGGCTATTCATGCATCATTCTCCTGAACAGTGGTCTGAGTAAGCAAGCAACCAAATTTTTAGAAGCATGGAGTACAGACAACACTTGATTGAAATGAAGGGGAAAGCCGTAAAGCACATGACATCTTTTCAAATGAGTTCAGATACCAATTAGTGATTGAAAGGCCCATCCCTGGACACTAGCTTTCTTTTTCAGTTCACCCTAAGGCTTCTTTAAAAACATCAACCTTCGCTTTTTTAACAAACAATTTTAGGTTTTGAAAACCTAAGAAATTTTTGTATTTTGAAAAACTACCCACATTTTCTTCCTTCACACTCATTGCAGAGCATTGAGTCACAAGGTGGTCTTTAGACCACTACAGGAAACTGTAAATCTATTTGATGAACATATGTAAAACTCCAAAAATTAACAGAAGATAACAGTCAGTCAAGAATTTTCTGCTACTAACAGGAATATACGCAATAGGTTCAGACAGACATTAATGTATCTACATGTCACGTGTAGATTGAAAAAAAACCAAGCCACTACATTTTCCCTATTTTACATGTTGCTGCAATATTATTTACCCCCACCCTAATTTTTAAATGGATATAACCAGAAATTTTGCCAGAAAAATTTACAGTGACAAATTTGGTCATTTGGAAAAGTAAAGTATGATGGAAAATTAAGGAGACAATCTGTACATCAAAGTTATAAACCTTTCTGAATATATTCATCTAACTATAGGCTTATTAACACAAAGTGGCATACCAAGGTACTCCCTCAGTTTGTTTTCACTTTACGGAAAAGAAAGCCTCATTTTAGGTTGCCTTCTGTGGTTTGACATCCCTAAAGGATGCCTGGTTCACCCCCTAACGCATGCACAAACCACTTGTTTAAAAAGTTAACCAATATCTTTTCAGAAATCAAGAAAAAGAACATGCAAAATCACTGAAGTAGTAGAAGTCAGGAAAAAAAAAAATCATACATCACTCAAAATTGATAAGGCATCGTTTAATATTGTACAAACTATAAAATCATAATAGTTTAATAGCTCCCTTAAGTAGTTTACTCACCCATTTTACATAACTTTTTTTAAATACATGCTTACTTATGTTTCTATAGATACACTTTTATATATGTTTCCAAAAAGAGTACAGTGCCCAAAAATTTTTCAGCATATTCTTATAGGCACAAGCATTTCTCCAAAGTAGGACAAGAGGAAAAAAAATCATGTTTCTTCATTTGTCAACATTTGCACAAATGCTGTATTTAAACAAATGCACACAAATAGTTTTCCAGAGTTAATATATGCTCCAATCTTGCAGTACATTTCCAAAGTGTGCTTCCCAATTTCATTAAGGTGCAAAAAATTTCTTTTCCCAACTGTAACATTTTTCAAACCACAGTTATAAAGCAAGTGTGCCCACTTGGTACCACCGTGACTAATGTATGCTTGACTATTGTTTGCAAATACAGAGACTTAATGGGGCTTGAAATGAAAGCAGCTTTGAACAAAAAGAATGTAGGTGATTCTAAACCTCCAAAATTAGAAGGAAACTACAGAATAAAGCTTTTAATTCCTTTATAAATATACTAACCTGTTTTCTGAACTAGATGTAGAAGTACTAGATGATGACAATGTATGAGAATTTGACATGCGTGAGACAAACTTCTGGATGGTGTTACGAGATGGAGCTTTGATCCTCGAGCTACGTCTACTGTGATATTTCTGGAACAAACTCTCAACCTAACATCAGAAAAAGATAGCAACAGTGGTATTTATGCTATGAGTAGCTTGTAATTAAAATTAATATTACTGAAGTTTAATTACTGCTAAAAAACATCTATTCACCTTCAAAATAACGCATTAGCAATAGCAGCAGCAATATCAGAAGTCTTAGGAATAAACAGATCGCAAGAAACATTTTACAACAAAAACTTAGTTGCTTATTAAAAATAAACAACTTTAAATACACACACAATCACTTCTGAAAATCCTCATTCTGTTTACCTTTCAGCTAATCATTGAGACAGATAACACAAATCTGAGTAGAAAAATCCAAGATCTGAATCACTTACTAAGCTACAGCTCTCTACTATTCTTTTACTTACGACTTAGTTGCAGCTGGTTTTCTACATAGAGGGCTCCTGAGACTGACTTAAAATTCAAAACACATATTCTTGTTGCTTTGAAAACCAACATCTTTTCAGCATTTTTAAGATAACATCCCAAAGAGTTTTACCTGGAGTGTATTTTAGATCATCCATTAGATCTATTACAAATTGATTACCTCAAAGTTCTTCAGCGTCTTTCTCCAGAGCATTGGGTCTGAGGGTTCAAGCTGGAACACCCGCAGCATAACAAACAGCAGATGAATACAAAACGTCCCACGGCCACAGCTACAAGTCTGCAAAGAGAAGTATCTACTAAGGCTCTACTGAATTGATAATCATGAAGATAATTTTTCTGCATCACAGAATATATACTAAACCCCTCTGAAAAGGGAAGTAGCTTATACAACGTAGTTCATATATAGGCATAAGTATCTTCTTACATGGCCTTACAGGAAACGTGAATTCCCAAAATTCAGGGATATATATATATGGAAAAGCAGACAATTATTATATCAGCTTTCAATTGACTTTTCCCATTTTTAATTTTTTTTTTTTTAAATCAGCAGAAGCCATTGCTACGCTTCATACTAGAAGGAATTAATGCATATAATTGTTGTATATCCATAAGACAACAGCAAACTTTAATATCATCAAATGAGACTAGTTTAGGTTGGAAGGGAACTTAAAGATCATCTAGTTCCAACCCCTCTGCCATGACTGCGGGATATACTCTGTTTACTGAAAAACCTAGATGTTCCCCAAGGCAGCATCACATTAGTACTACGAAAGTCAATGAAAGACTATGAACAGGACTATAGGTATTAATGAAATCATCGCACCATTAAAGGAATTATGTCGTGTGCTTGTCATTTAATCTCATTAATAGAGGAAATAAAGTGTTTCGGACTGAGAAACGGAGAAAGTTAAGTGGCTAAATTTTACCCCAAAATACTTAAAACATAAAACTAGGAACCATTTCTAGGAACAAGAACAGACAAGACTTCCTTTTGTAATTACTAAAAACTAGAGAGCTTTTTTTGAGGAGAAACGTTAGACAAAACTACTGTACTTGCTGCGCATGTGAGAAAATAGAAGCTGATCTTGTATTACATGAGCACAGATAACAACTTTTAGACTTTTTTTATAGAACCATTATCGTGGGTTAGCGACTTACTTAGTCTAATTTATTCTGAACAGTCTTCCAAAATTAACAGTAACACAAAAGTGTTCCCTACCTGAGGCCCAATAAACACTCTGTACTTATTATCAGGGCTGTCTCCTCCAATTAAGAAAGAGTTGGGTCCTATCTGTTGCAGCAAGTAGAGCCTGGCTCGCATCACTTTGTTGACACGACGATTTGTTTCCTCAGGGCTGTATGGAGAAAAGCCATCTGGAGATGGGGCTCGTCGAGGTGGTGTTATTCGTCCACTCTGAAACTACATAAGCAGTTCCATCATAAGCACTTTCAGGACAACAGTAAGTTTAATTAGGTGGTGGTTTGCTTTTTTCCCCCCTTCTAAATGTCACAGAATATGAGAGTCCCCAACAGCTGAAACTACTACAAACAGCTTAGACTGTATGACTTCAAAAGTCATATAGTTACTTTTCTTCCATGTTCAGAACTCAAGGGCAGAAGAAAAACTGAAATTTGTAACTGAAGTTTTGTCTGACATTATGACCTAAGTCTTTCTAAGTGCTTCTATTTTCAAGCCTTCCTTGCAGAAGGAAGCTTCAAGCATTACCATTTTACTAGTGAATTAGCAAGCATAATTCAATCAAGATAATCATATACTTGTGACTCAATACTGGGAATTATTATACAAGGTTATTACGCTAATATATTTCCTAAATGAGGAAATCCTATGACTACAGTTTACAACAGGGAATATACAGTCAATGAAGAACAAAAGTTTAATAAATTCAAAGAAAATGAAAAAGGATACAGCGCTCTCTCCTTTGCATAATTAAAGCAACTTTCAGCTCAGGGTGTGGTTTGGTTTGGTTTGTTTGCCCATGATCAAAAGCTCAGTGGCCCAAACCTTTTATTACAATTGTCTTAATTTAAAAATTCTTCACATTTTTAACACTGAGAGATGCATTAATATCTCTGTCCAGGTTCAAGTCTTCTGCTTTGATTTATATCTACTTTGAATTTTATTTTATGATGCAGGTTATATGTAATTGACTCACTGTCTATCAGTTAAGTAACCTGAACTTCTAAGGTTTTTCATGTGAAGATTAATATAAAACAAAGAAAACAATCAAGTAAAAACGAGTCAATGGCTAAATTTGACAGTTCGGTTGTTTGTTGAGGTGTTGGTTGGGTGGGGGTTTTTTTTGGTTGGTTGTTTTTTTTAATCTTCCGGTTTCTTTTGTCAAGAGGAAAGAAGCTGTACTGCAGTGCTGCAACTTGTGATACTCATCCCTAGTTTAGAGTATCCTAGAGGACTGGCAGTACATACTTTAATTGATCATAGAAGCCTTCTTTAGAGCAATGGGACAATAAAAGCAGTTAGATCTTATTCTTACTCCAACTGCCCTGTGAAGTTGTAGAGAGGTCAACTGAAGTTTAAGTGTGGATGAACATTCTTATAACAAGCAAACCCATTAGACACTATTGCTCAAAGCATTATAGTCTTGATCTTCTTTAATGAAGGCATTTACTATTGCTCAAAACATTCTATTCCAGATCTTCTCAAACATAATGATAGAGAATTTAATCTTCTGATGATGCAAACACCTAGATCTTCCTTAATCTGTACCTAAAGTTCAGTTCTGGAATAGAAGATCACAAGTAGCATACCAGTAACTCTTTTCTGCAGGAATCTAAATCTAGTCAACAGTCCTGTCCCCAATACAACATACTTGCCTGGACAACTGACACACAAAATACAGGAAAAACACCAAACTACTAGCACCTCTTGGTGCAAGTGATGCTAAGAAAACACGTATGTCTTCATGACTGAGTATCTGTGTTTCCTCATTTATTTCCTAGAAATAAAAATTGAAGCTGGACTGAATTAAAAAGAAAACACACACCTAAGAGTAGAGAATAAAATTCCGCAGATGACAAATGTGATGAGATATGCTCTGTGTATCTCACTCAAGTGAAACCCTCTCATAAGCCCTTTGTAGCAGCATCTTCTCCTACACAAGGAGGATTAATTGCCTCTATAAGCAAAAGATTGCAGAATATAGCTAAATTAAGAATTACATCACAGCTTGCAACTTACAGGCACTGGAGATACCCTTTTTCTTCTAACACCTGGTGATTCAGATTTAACTGTCCTAGAAGATGATGAAGAGGAGCTACTAGGAGAAGGACTACGTCTTCCTTTCTGTGTAGGTGAAGAAGCTGTGCTTTGTCCTTCGGCTTGAGGTTCTAGAGAGAGTTTGTTCATTTCCGATCCATCTCCTTTCCCAGGCATAGGTTTCACCACCTTGCAGGAAATAAACCACATGACAGAATTAAAAACTGATCCTTTTACACTAAAGCAAAAGAAATTCATCAAAACTTGTTTTCCTACCATTATATAATTAAGCCATTATCCAGACATCTGGTTTACATATTCCCTAGGTTCTAATATGAACACCTAATAGGGATTATCTATTGCAATGTACTTTTTGCTGGGTAACAAACTGACTGGATGGCAAGGCCCAAATTGTTGTGGTGAACACAGTTAAATCCAGTTGGTCACAAGTG